TGATCTGGGGAGAGACTTCTCATGGTTTCAAAAGAAAAAAACCTAAAGCACAGCTTTGGAGGGAGTTGGAGTCTGAGGTGTTCACCTCTGGGAGCTGTGCTAAGGAGTGACCGCTTGTCCAGTTTGAAAAAATCCTATCCTTTTGCAGTGGAGACGGATCACACATTGAAAGTAGCAGAGAAGATGTTTGAAGGTCATTCATTTATTCCTAGAAAGAGATGTGATGAAGTAAACGAGGGCAGGATCAGTGGGCATAAACGAGAGAGAACTTTGAGAGGCCTTGGAAAGGAATTCCAGGTTTTTACGGAGTCGAGGTGGCATGCAGTTAGAGAGGAAGCTGTCCAGTGACTTGATGCTGGAGTGTATTCCCCAGGCTCTTGTAATGTCGGTAATGGAAACCGTGGGGAAATGCAGGATACAGTCCCTGTGCTCAAGGAGCTCAGGGAGGTAAACAATTAATTATCATACCGAGTAGACAGAAATAAGCCCCAAAGAGCAATACTGGGGACTGGACTCAGAGGGAGAGTGCTATTGAGTTAGACCTCAAAGGATGAGCTGCTCTGTGCTGCGTGAGAAGGGGTTTGAGACAGGACTTCCCACAGAGCAGCGGCTCACAGCGGCAGTGAAACGCACCTGCCCAAGCTCATCATCAAGATGCTAATTTGAGAGCCACACACTTGGCCTGCTGCATTTCTCCAGCAGCCAGGGTTTCATACACCAGCACACACTCGGTGATGTTTAAAGCTTCTGTGCTGTTGTTGTCTCCTGGAAGCAGAGTGGAAGGACTGCCTGTCTATTCTCATTAGCCAACTCTGAAGTGGCTGAGGGTCTGACCTGTCCTGAACATGCTCAGAAGGCCCTCCGGGGGCCCAATTCTGAGTAATTGCTAAGACTACTATCCCCATTCCTTGGTGTTCTTCCACCCTTTTTCCCCTTCCTGAATTTGGTGCCTCCTATGTGCTTCCTGGATTGCTTTTATTTTCTTGGATTCTCTCTTTTTACCCTTCTATTTTCTCCCTCTCTTTAGATAGAAACACATATACTCCAACTTGGAAGGAAGTAGGAGATTCTAGATACCAGGGGGCCCAACTGTAAAAGCTCTGAGAAGGTTCTTAACCACATGGCAATTCCCCTTATCTGTTATTTTTGGTGGTGGTGCTATTGCTTTTCAAAGCTGAATGTCTTGGATTTAAATCTCTGCTCCAACATATAACAGCTGTCTGACATCGCGCAAATAAATCTCTTTAAGCTTCCAGTTTCACATCAGTAAGAATAAAGTAACAGCAATACTTTCCATACAGGAGTGTTATAAGAATTTAATGAGAGAGAGCCTGTAAAAGGGCCTGACACATCATATATTCTCAGTGAATAATGGTAGCTATAATTGTTGTTTACAATAATAATAATACAAGCTATTATAACACCTACAAACACAAAAGGATGATGTGGTGATCTTTGGGAACAAGGAAGGGAAAGGCTGTTTCCCAGTCTTTGGCTGGTCTTAGAAAATGGAAACCCCTAGGGACTCAGGCATTGAAAGCAGCTGAACCTGTGGATGCACAGGCCGCCCTCCCTGGCTGGAGAGTGACGTGGGTGCTGAAGCATCAGAAGGCCTGTGGGTCCCCTGAGCTTTGTCTGAGCCTCTGGGAGCATCTAAGCCAAGCCTCCCTGAGATACAGCGCCCCTTCCCAGACAGCATGGCGGCGTGGTAACAGGCCCACCTGGCCAGATGGAATTATATTCCTGAGAATTCTGCATCTCGTATGTGTCTAGCTAGTGAGGCTGGGCCA